AGATGAAGAGCCTGAATTGATGGAAAACATCATCACTTGCGATGAAACCTGGATATTCCAATACGATGTTGAAACTAAGCGGCAATCCATGCACTGGAAAACTCCTGCATCGCCAAGAATGAAAAAAGCAAGGATGTCGAAATCAAAATTTAAAGCCATGCTAATCGTTTTTTTCGACATCAACGGCATCGTGATGACTGAATGGGTTCCAGAGGGTCAAACTGTAAACCAAACTTACTATTTGACAGTTTTGGCAACACTGCGAGAGCGAGTTCGTAAGAAACGGCCGGAGTTGTGGAAAAACAAGTCGTGGATCTTACACCAGGACAACGCACCTGCCCATAACGCGCTGTCTGTGAAGCGTTATTTAGCCGCTAGAGGCACTCCAGTGCTCGAACACGCGCCGTACTCGCCTGATTTAGCACCCTGTGACTTTTTCCTCTTTCCGAAGATCAAGTCTGCCTTAAAAGGAACCCGGTTCGAGTCGATGGAAAAGGTGAAGCGAAAATCGGCGGAGCTCCTAAATGCTCTTACAAAAGAAGACTTCCAGCATTGCTTTGATCAATGGAAAAAACGAATGGAACGGTCTGTGGCGAGGGGAGGGGAGTATATTGAAGGGGAGCATTCAATTGTAGAATAATTTTTAAAATAAAACTCTTTTTCATAAGCTCGTTATTTAATAGCCAGACCTCGTATATAAACGAAGAAAAAGAGATATCAACAAAGAATAATAAAATAAATTTAATCAGAAATAAAAATGTAATACTTTACAAATAATTATTGTATTTATAAATGTTTGTTATTAATGTCCAAATTATGGCTTTAAATATTCACATTATTATTTTTATTAGGATAATTGTAACCTCTCAAAATAAAAGTTTTTTTAAAGCATTTTTAGTAAGGAATATAATAAAAATAGTAAAAAAAATGTATAATCAATATTTAATTTGATAATCATAATACAATTTTATGATAAATTTGATAATAACTTTATAATAAGATAAATATTTATTTTAGGTAACACCTCATCGATTTCGATGTCTTTTAGATATGTTGTAAGGGAGAATGTCCTGAGTGATCCCCACAAGAATTAAGTGGGGGACAGCATTGGTTTAAGAGATATAGTAAATTAAAGTTTTATAATATGTAGAGGATATAATATTGGTATAAGAGTATACTTCCACCTTTCCCCCCTCTCCCCTCTACTACGGGGCGCACGAGATTCCACGCGAACAATTTTTTTTGTTTGTAATTGTTAGTTTTTTTTTATATTTGTTGGAATTTTTTAAACCATTTTTTTATGTTTTTCGCTAAAAAAATTCTTCTGAATATCACTTTTATTTTGAGTGGCCACAGTTATTGTAATTATCTTTTTATTTGTTAATAACTTTTTAATAAACAATAAGTGACGATTGAAATCTTTGGAATATTATTCAAGGTCATGATCTTGTTGAACATATATCAAAATCAAGCTATGTCCGTATTAATATAAATAATTACAAAATTTTTAATAGAGAGTGTCTTTACTAAAACAGTTTTGTTGTATATATAAAAATATAATAAAAAGAAGAAGAAAAGGAGGAAAAAAAATTAATCAACTAAATATATCAAATAAATATATATGTACGAGGGTAGTCCCAGAAGTACCCGACCTAACAAAGAAAACACAAAAAATTTGGGAAAAAATATCTTTATTTCTCAACATAGTCTCCTTTCAGCTCGATACACTTTTCCCAGCGATGTTCAATAGCTTCGATGGCCTGTTTATAGTAAGAACCGTTGAACTCCTCAAAATAGCCATTAACCGCAGACTCCACCTCTTCATTGTTGGTAAATCTTCTACCACCGAGCCATTTTTTCAAGTTTGGAAAGAGAAAATAATCCGAGGGGGCTAAATCTGGCGAATAGGGTGCGTGGGGAAGCAATTCGAACTTTAACTCAACATCCTCTCGACGCTGCTTTTGTTCGATTGTGAGCAAGCGCGGCACCCACCTTGCGCACAGCTTTCTCATCTCCAAATTTTCAGCCAATATGCGATGTACAGCACTTTTTGAAATGTTTACCATGTCTGCTAGCTCGCGCACTTTCAATCGACGGTCACCCAATACCATTTTGTGGATTTTCTTCACCATTTCTGGAATGGCCACCTCACTTGGTCGACCACTGCGATGTTCGTCTTCGCAGCTCGTACAGCCTCGTTTAAACTCTGCCATCCAATATTTTACTGTTGTAAACGAAGAAGCAGACTACTTCTCCAGAGTAGAATCCAGCTCGGCTTTGATATTGGTTGGGCTAAGACCTTTCAAATGAAAGTATTACATAACGATGATCAATTTTTTCCATCTTTGCAAATTCACCGAGATCGTCCACTATTGATGGTTGCCAAACAAATACTGAACAACGTAGCGTCTTCAAACTTCATAGTTAAGCTTTAGAAAGTTGGTGCTTTCCCCTACAGTGATTTTTTTATACAACAACCGCCATCTGTACGTCAGGTCGGGTACTTCTGGGACCACCCTCGTATATCTTTAAAAGTCAACATCGGTTATTCGGGTATACATATAACGTTTTTATTATATAGGAAACATTAAATATTTTAACTTTTTGCTTTTAGGTCATCCTCAATAATTACAAAAAAATGAACTGATGATCATTATAAAAATATAAATTAAATATCGCAGTCAGAAAATAAATCGAAAGAGTATTATGAGATACATAAGATGTTTGTGTTAATATTTTTAAATTTTTCAAATTTGAACTAGTAATGGAATTCGGTCAAATTGAATGTCAAATTGAGTCGCCGCGCATTTAATACAAAATCGAATTAGAAAATGGTTAAAATATAAATTTGCTAACTAGGATGTATTTGATTAATTCAATCCTACTTATAGTGGATTTATAGTTTCATTTATAGATAGTTTAATTCGGATTGCGTATAAAAGTCAATCGATAAAAACAAATGACAAATATAATAATTTTTCGTTAATTTTTGATATAAGAATTACACTCGTCCCTCGATTTACGCGATACTTAATTTATACGGATTTCTTTTTACACGATAAATAATCTCTCGATTTACGCAAACTTTAACGCGGTTTTAATTTATGCGATCTCATTTTATGCAGTTCTCTTTTTTTACTTTTTCCTATAATAAGCTACAAAAATGAAAAATGCAATTTTAGGCATTGATCCAAATATCTAACGAGTTTTTAAATTTCAAAAACATTTTTGCAAGTTGATTATAAAAAAAATTTATGATTAAGTAAAAAACGTGCTTGGTAAAAAATCATCTGAATATATAAATATAAATAATGAAACCGAAATAATATTTAATTAAGAAAAAAGTCCATTTACAAGTTAAAAAAATTTTTTAGCAATCCATATATTTTATTTTTTTTTAATTAGCAATTACATCACTTGATAAAGCAACGTTTCAGCTTTAAGAATCTGTATTTTCGATTGCGATATGATGATTTTTAATGGAGCAATAAAATCAGAGAATGTTCCTTTTTACTTAATCCGCGAGTAACAAATAATCGTAGGAACATTTTTAAGAAATGATTTTGTAGGGAAAGCTTCAAGCTCTCACGATAGATAATCCAAAATTTACTCAAATTTTTTGAGGCATGCTACAAATTGCAAAGAAAATTTTTCATTTTTTTCAGTTCGTAATTTTCTATGTATAAAAATTACAAAACTCACATAAATTCAAAAAATATAGTAATCATTCCGAAAGTAAAAATTTCAAATTTTAAAACTCTTTTTTTTTTAATTTTGATCATTTTTAAACAAAGATATTGATGGAGAAAGGTTTTTTTTACCAATTTATAAAAGAGGACTTTTTCCCTAACCCAATATATCCAAATACTTGTAGGAAGAATTTGAGCACTGAAGATAGTAATTTTGTACCAGTTAGAAAGGAAAGGTTGTTAGTTTTAAATTACAGTGCAGACACTGACGAATAAAATTTATTATGATTTTTATAAAATTCAATTTTTATAGAAATCAAAGTCTTAAATGGTCTAGCTAGATCTTAAATGCTTGTATGATTCTTGTGTGAATTTATATACTACGTATGTAGTCTTTAGAAACGCACACCAAAATGATTTTTCGGTCTTGAAACGCTAACCCTACTAAAAATCGTAGTAATATCACGAGTTAAATTGACTAGCAATTTAACAAATTTTTGATGCTTATTCGCATCTTCGAAATATACGGTCTTATAATCACATATCGTCCTATAATATATTATATTATTTATTTACGTTGCTTAATTAACGTTGTTTCTTCATATGCCAATTATTGCGAGGAATGTTACTAAGGCCTCGGTAGTCTAAAGGTTTAGGACGCTCGCACGGAAGAGATCCAGGTTCAACTCCCGGCCAAGGTAATACTTTTCGCAATAAGAATTAATTATTTAGATTTTAATATATGTTATTCAACATTATTAAGATCGTTTCGAAGATGCAAATAAGCATAAAAAATTTATTAAATTGCTAGTCAATTTAATTCGTGATATTACTGCGATAATTAAGTAGAGTTAGCGTTTCAAGACCCAAAATCATTTCGGTGCGCGTCTAAGGATGTACGTAATATACATATTACGTACATAGTATATAATACATAGTATATAAATTCACAAAATAATCATACAAGCATTTAAGATCAAGCTAGACCGTTTAATGCTTTAATTTCTACAGTTTGTGTTATCACATATACGATCCTATAATATATTATATTTTTATAAATCTTTATTAAGGCTCCTGAGTAGTCACCACAGCTATATTGAATCATGACATCAGAAGTGAGAAATGACATTTTTTATTACGTATCATTTATAAATAAAGACAATTTGGATAAAACAAAATGAGATTGCTTTAAAACATTTGTAAAAATAGATTCTCCCTAACAGTAAATAATCATAAAAAGTGATAAAAGGCATATGTAAGTGAAAATAAGCTACGCATGCGCATTGACTCAGGAGCCTTAAGGCTCCTTTGAGAAAATAGGTTTCTTTGAGAAAATATATAAGATATACATATAGGGTGTTAATTAAATATGTTGCCATACTCAATAGAGCGATTCTTTGGTTTTTATTTCAAGTAAAAAAGTCCATGTAAACATGTGTCCTAAACGGCTTAATTTCCGAATGTTCGCAAATGTTTGACGAAGTAAATTGCGTTGTAGATATCTTCCTGCATAAATATGCCTCATGTGAGTTACCATTCGCACAACCGTAAACAAAGTGACAAAGTCAAAGACAAAGATCACCAGACTTAAATCCTTTGGATTATTTCCTTTGGGGATTATTTCCATCTGAAATCATTTATACTACCCTAATTGAGAATGAGAATGATTTGAGGAATCGAATAGTTGCTTCATGCGAGGCAATACGTAACATACCTAGTATTTTTGAGCGTGTACGTCAATCTTTGGGAAGAAGATGGATGTATCACGGCGCAAGGTGGACATTTTCAATAATTCGTCTAATTATTTTATTTCATCAGAAGAACTGAAGCCTTTTTGTTTTTCTGTTTTTGACTAGTTTTTGACTAATTCAAGCTGTATTTCTTTCAAATAAATAGATTATTACTACACGTTTAAATTTTTTTATTTCGGAAACTAAACTGTTTAGGACACATGTTTATATGGACTTTTTTTACTTGAAATAAACCAAAAAATTGCTCTGTTGAGTATGGCAACATGCTTAACTAATACCCTATATATGTATTTTTATAAAACTTACTTATAATGGTTTTTCTTAAAAATTTTTTTCACATTAATGGATTCTTTTTACACGGTTTTTCCCGTAAAAAAATCACATGGAATGGATCCGCGTAAATTGAAGAATGGGTGTATATTAACGTTGAATTAGATGAATCTTTATTATTGATTCTATTACATAATATCATTATTATTACATTACATTGTAGGCATTAAAAGTTAAGTTAATGATTCTATTGTATAACGATCAGTAAAAATTACTTTATTGTGATTGTCTTTCCAGAGTTAACGTCACTTTTATTGACAAAGCAGGCAAGAAAGTTAAAATAAAAGGAAAAGTAGGAGACAATGTACTCTATTTGGCTCATAGACATGAAATTGACATGGAAGGTGCATGCGAAGCCAGTTTGGCATGTACAACTTGTCATGTATATGTACATCATGACTATGTGGATAAACTTTCAACTCCTGACGAAAGAGAAGAAGATCTTTTGGATTTAGCACCTTTCTTGAAGGAAAATTCTAGGCTAGGTATATTAACTTTGTTACTTTATTATTTTTCTTTAAATTTAAAATTAATTACAAGATAAAGGGGCAAAATAAATTTCCCAAAGATAAATTTCCATAAGAGAAATCTAGTTATACGAGTAGTTTGTGCATTGTAAGGTTTCTGTTTGGAATGTGTTTGTAACATTTTTGCAATTGCCTTCACTACAATTAGATTTTTATTTTTATAAAGGGTGTCCCAAAATTAACGCAAGATTTGAATTAAATAGAAAACACAGTTTTTAGTCTTTTGATTGTTATTTTTTTATTGAATCATAAAGTACATAGGATAGGGTTATTTGTGGAATAACACATCGGGCAAATGGCCTCCACGGCTTTGCATGCACATACGCACTCGTTTGTCGAAATTTTCCATGACCATTTTGCATAAATGTGGCTGAATTTCGTTGATGCAGCGTTGAATCTCCTCCTTTAATGCACGGGTGGTTGTGGGCTTGTTGACATAGATCTGTGATTTCAAATAACCTCATAAAAAGAAATCTAATGGTGTTAAATCACACGATCTAGGGGGCGATTTTGGCGATTAACAAAGCCATCAAGGTGAAAATGTGCTTCATCGCTTAGGATGATTTTGCTCGAAAAATCAGCATCCATTTGTTGATGTTCAATAATCCATTTTCACGCTCCATTTTCACTAACCCTAAACTGTCAGCTGTTAAATTGTTTTTTTTTTGGGTTGCCAACACTTTACTGCACAAATGGCGGCAAATTCAAATCTTGCGTTAATTTTGGGACACCCTTTACTAGACTGCGCTATAGAACTCTCTTTTTCGCTTCCAATAAATATCAAACTGTAGCGGTTACTATACGAAGGTTGAAACAAGACTGAATTCGAGATGAATATAATTTCTTTATTAATAATAATACATAAAAATTCTTTTAGTAGATGAGGAACGCGATTCGTTCGGAAAGACAATCGAGAGATTCTAGAAAAGAAGAGTAAATGAGAAAACGTGTTATAACATGGCGTCAGTGTATATGCGTCACCTATCTAGTAAATGAGAATGAATTGGAATGGATTAAAATATATTCAGATTTTCAGAAATACGGATTCATGAATGTTAAGATGAATCCTTTTCAATCCTGAATGTATTTTTATTTATTTATAGGAATTGCATGAAACAAATGTCTATTTCTTTTCAATCTTGAATGCATTTTTATTTATTTATAGGAATGGCATGGAGTATTTCTATGCTTTTTAATTTAAAAATAATATTATAATATTTTATGTGCATCGCGCGTGAATACTGCTCAATTCAAAATTGTGAGTAGGAAATGTAGTTTTTCAATCCAGTTGAATCTAAAAATAGTATCAGCCATTTCTGTGCATCATGAATACTGCTTAATTCAAAATTTTGAATAGGAAATGCAGTTTTTTAATTTAATTGAATTAAAAGAAGTTTTTCTTTTAAAATAAGCTATGAATGCTATTCAATTCAAAATTGTGAAAATTCATTGTTTCATTTAAAAATGCATCATAATCGAATGCTACTTTATTCAGAATTATGAATAAGAAATTCGTCGTTTTAATTCAACTGATTGTGAGTTAAAAAAAAGTTATTCATAAAAATATATCATGAATTCTACTTCACTTAATAGTTGAAAGAAACTTAAAAAGAACTACGTAAATATGTACAATAAATGTTACATATATAAATTACTTATTTTTAATTAATAAATTAATTGCTTTTATGCATATTTCATATTAATTTCCTTCATTATACAGGTAGTGCATATTTTTTGTATAAAAATTTTAAAATAATAACTATAGAAGTTCATGTAATTATTACTTTAATTTATTTAAACTTTTACACGTATAAAAATTTTTTATATGAAATACAATCCATTTTTATGAATTTAAAATATGAATTCAGATGGATTGAAAATTTCCAATCCATTTCAATTTATTTTTGTTTGCTGAGATAATCGTAGGATATGTGAAATGTATGAAAGAGAGTATGGCTGTGTATAGAAGTGTGGCTAGATGTCAAAGTGTGAGTATGTGTAGAAAAGTGTGAGCGGATCCCCACAAAACATACACTTATCTCACTGTAAGTTCCAAAAGTGTATACTAGTTCAGCCACAGAAAATAAACCTATCATTAACTGACCAAATTTGAGAAGCCTCAATACAAGACTGCGAATTGTGTGTGGTAATTCGGTTTTGACCATATGAAACAAAAATAAATATTATCAATTAATTTCTGTAAGAAAAAATCAATGTGCAAATAGTTTGACAATGGCGATCAGAGTTTCTTAACCGTTGCACGGAAATTCATGATGAGCTTTGAAATGGTAAGCCGCGCACATTAACGTCAAATTTTTATCAAACATATTCTTGTATGAGTAATTTTCATCTGTTTCTTGCACTTAAAAAACATTCGGGTATCAAACATTTTGACAGAAACAATGAAGTCAACCCTAATGGCACAGTATATTAGCTATACATATTGGCTAAAATTAGCTGACATTGATTATATTGGTTATATTAGAGATACATTGGTCAATATTTCCCAATTTAATGCCAATGTTGGTATATACGAGGTCTGTTCAAAAAGTATCGCGAATTTTGTGTTTTTTCAAAAATTATTTATTTATTCATGAATATCTATTTTGTCCCCTACAAAGTAATCCCCATCAGATATTATACACTTGTGCCAACGTTTTTTCCAATCCTCGAAGCACTTCAAAAAATTATTTTTTGTGATCTTGTTCAGCTCCTCCTTCGATGCCGTCTTTATCTCCTCAATCGTAGCGTAGCGTCGTCCTTTCATGGGCCTCTTCAGTTTCGGGAACAAGAAAAAGTCACAGGGGGCCAGATCTGGGGAATACGGTGGCTGCGGCATCATTAGTGTGTTGTTTTTGGTCAAAAATTCGCGCACAAGCAACGATGTGTGAGCAGGGGCGTTATCATGGTGCAAAAGCCAATTTTTGTTCTTCCACAAATCCGGG